ACATTCTGAAAGATACAAAGAGAACGCTTGCAAACTATTTTCAAAGTTTACAACTAATTAGATTCTACACCATGTTTAGAAACACTGTGTTTCAGTGGCCACTATCCCCGAGCGGCTTAGGTCCTTGTTATGTGATACAATATTGTAGCAGGCAGTAAGTGATCAGAATAAAAGTGAGATTATGAATGTATTGTGTAAACCTTCTGCCAGGTGGTTAAGAGCAGCAGTGAGGGCTGGGTTCAATGTATCTAGTGTTCCTCTTTACAAATATATGAACTGACTCAAGACCTCTCCCAGAAACCTAGGAAAATGAAACAAACCCATTCTGGGTGTCCTTAACAGCCAGAACTTCCCCACTTGCAAGCATTCCGAGTCTGTTTACAAACAAGTAAATCTTTGTTAGGGGGAAGAGAACACATTCATAAATGTGGGAAAACACAGCAACCAAATTATATATACACACACAGAAAATAATAACACCCTTCCAGCTATTTGGCAGTAGTCCACCTAACTCCCTTCTTACCCAATGGTGAGAATGTCCCATGACTGTACCACATCATCCATGCACCAACCCTACTCATGATTTGCCTCAGTGACATACAGTTGTCCAATTTGCAGGTCTATCTCCAGTCCCAAGGGAGATGCTTGACCAGCTCCACCTTGAAGAACCACCACTTAACCTAGCTTAATGATTCAGCTTTATTAAGGTGCGGTGTAGGCAAATAAAACTCTATATCAGCACTTGTCTCTTTTCACCAACAGAAGGAGTAGAAAGCTCTTTCTTCTCTGCAGCTTTTGGCTACATTGTTTAGAATTTTTCTCTATGTTTTGTTTAGGTTTCTTATTAGGTATCACATATTGATTACACAGAGTTCCTAGATATACCACACACAGCAGCAGCATTTCTCCAATCTTCCTCACCAATGCAATGTAACCGAGGTACTGTGCTGGCTGGTTGAATGAATATTTCTTGGCATTTCCTGAAACAGCCCTGAAGAAGTGTGGCTCCTCCCAGCTGGTGGAAAGTAACTTTGTGAAGAAGTTCAGTGTACGGGTATGCTTCCTGCATCAGGAGAAAGGGAACTTGTCCTGCTGATGATGTCCAAAACAGGAGCTCTGCCAATAATAAATGGCTGTGGTTCTCCTGCTTACTGTGCCTGAGTCATTATTTTGGGGATTTGGCCTGACTAGGCTTATCCATCAGAAAATAACCATGAGGTCACATAACAGTATTTTAACCCTGACCTAGGATCATATCTACATAAGAAAGGGGAGATTCAGTCTCTTTGCCCATTCAGTCCTTCACCTTCTTGATGATACCATCAAAAGTTAGTGCCATTAGTGCCAGCTGTAGGGGTGTTTTTTGAGATGTGAAAACTTGTCCACCAGGAGCTAGGTTTAGGCTACCATATTCATTTCCATATAGCCAATAAACAGCTGTCAGCTGGTGAGAACTTTTAATCACTACTGTGTTGGGTTGGGTTCCAGAGAAGTGCTGTATGTAGTTTGAAAATGAACCAGATCAATTTAATCTTGCATACAATCAGGCTGATCAATCAAATGTGCTATAGCAAACACTATTAGCTTAGAGAGTCAGTAAACATTATGGTGGTGTGCTTTAAATTTAATAATGGCAATAATAATGGAACAAATCCTTAGGGGAGCTGAGCATTCTTCACTCTTATTGATAACAATGAGAGTGCCTGTGCTCAGCACCTCTCAAGATTTGGCCCAATAATCATGATATATGCCAAATAAGGCAAAAGTAGTATCATTGCCCATTGCTTGTCTGGATCTATTACACTTTATTGTTTTAGGCAATACTTTATTCAGTTTGATGGTAAAGTTTTCTGCAAATAAAAATAGTAACTCTTTGCTTATCAGTTTTCTAGTCTCTGATGTGTGATTTCCAGTGGTAATGGCTTTAATGACATTTGCCCAATTATCCAGCTGTCTGAGATATTTCTAAGGTGCCTATCACCATGGTATCTAAGCACTGACAAGTATATGACAGGAATTACATAAAAGAGTAATGTGTTCTATAGTAAAAGGATAATTCCGTGTTTTATAGTGTTTTCTTCATAAGAATACAACCACAATTCATTTAAAAAAGAATACCCTTTTCAATGAAGCAGAGATAAGAGAATTTGTTTTTCCCCAAAGAGAAACTTCCATTCAATTATGATAAGACGGATTCTCTTGCCATCTCAGTTCTATAAAACAATAAAGAAAACCTCTTTTGATAATTTTTCTTTTAAGTAAACCAAATGCTCAGTCAAATACATGGGCATAACAATATCAGGTAATCTTTCTGATCTACTCATGAGAAATTATATTCCTCCCCAGAATTTAAGTCACTGGCAGACAGTCCCTTTTTGAATACCCCAGATGAATATTATCGAAAGAAATGTTCTAACTAGAGGTATCAGACAAGAAGACACCTTCTTGTCAATTGTCTGTAATGGGCCACTCTCTTACCACTTCAAAAGTTATTTTTCCTCCCTTGGTATCCTGCTGTTAATTGATTTATCTTGTTAAATTGACCTCACACTTGGTAAAGCAACCCCCATCCTATCATGTATTTACACCTGCTCCTGTATTTTTCACTTCATGCATCCGATGAAGTGGGTTCTAGCCCATGAAAGCTTATGCCCAAATAAATTTGTTAGTCTCTAAGGTGCCACAAGGACTACTCGTTGTTTTAACTAGAGGTAGTACATTGTTCTATCATAGTTCCATTCACTTTAAGACTCATAAAAACCGATACAAAAATCACTGGAATTAGGGCCTCCCAAAAATTAGTTGGCTTCAGCAGAAAAAAGGAAAAGCAAGTATGTATGTATCAGACTTTATTTATTTATTTATTTATTTTTATTTTATTTTCTACATTCCCAGTTCAAAACAATCTTTGACTTTTACTTAGGAATCTTGCTGGACTAAAATGGAACAATCCTCTCCACCTTGGACTAACCCTTACATACTTTATTTGGCAACAAACAAATGATCTTTCTGCACATCTGATAATCTCTTACACATGATTTATATCCGGAACTGAAATTCTAAATTACTGTATATCAGCTATGCTTTCTCTATTCCTCCCATTGCCTCCACTCCAGATATTTTATTCTTTACATCCAAAAGCCAAGCTAAGGCATTTATGGAAAGACTGAATAATCCTTATTAAGTACATGTCATGTTTATTAACATGTTATTTTTATTTGTATTCTCATAATATCTAGAGGCCCTCATGACAGAACAGTGCTCGATTGTGCTAGGCACTGTACACATACAACTACAGAAATGGTCCCTGCCTCAGAGAGTCTGCAAGTTATAAAAGGTCATGTAATGTCTTATCAAGTCACAGCTTCACATGATACTGTTCACTCTGTACATTAGATATCCCCATGTTTTCAACAAGATACTGCTTCTTTGGGATTAAGCAGAAAAGTTACTTGATTCTGCAAATAGCAATGTCTAGTTGCTTAAACATATTCTCTACTCCTCAATCCTTACAGGGATCAATCCTGCAAGGTGTTGAGCACTACTACAAAGTCTTGAGTCCACTCCACTCCTGCTGAAGTCTGTGGAAATGGAGAGTGATCAGCACCTTGAAAGATCAAGCCCTTTTCCCATGGAAGAACCCAATTTTCAAATGTCAGTACCTAAAGCTAGAAATCTGATTGTTTATAGAGCCGACTTCAGTGCCTGATTCTGTACTACTGAAATTAATGCGAGCTTTGCAAGACCTATCAGATGGGTATTTCAATATATTCTCAATGCTGGAAGGGCTCTAATATGGTAGGTAGATTTTCTACCTTTTTCTTACACATGGTGTGATGGGGTGTCTGCCCCACACTCACCCTGCAGGATTTAATGCAGGCCAGATGGGCCAATTAACCAATTAGGCAACTAATTAAGGAGGCTCAGCTGGATAAGAATAAATGGGTCCTATAAAGCCCAGGAGCTGAAAGCAGAAGGGGCTACTGGGGAAAAAGTGGACACTCCCAGGAGTAAGGGAGGAGTGAGTAGGGACTTCAAGCTGCAGTCGCTCCTTGGGAAAAGTGAGGAGACTTTGGGAACTGGTAGGCCCAGGAAGAAAAGGGGAACCATTAGTAGGAAGCAGCCCAGGGAGAGAGCAGTGAGGCCAGAGAGAGAAGGCCCAGACTGCTGAGCTGAAGGTCCCTGGGCTGGAACCCAGAGAAGTAATCAGGCCTGGGTTCCCTGCCAACTGGGTGAATGGCACTGAAGCCATAAGCAGGAAGACTGCCTAGGACTATTAAGGAGCTAAATCCACCCGGAAGGGGGAAACACAGATAGTGTCACAGCCAGAGGGCTGAGCCACAAAGAGGACGCTGTGGTTCCTGAGGCTGCAAAAGGGGCTGCAGGGGGACGACAGAGACGGAGGAATTGACATTGGCCTCGAGCTAATCTCCAGAGTACCAGAAGGAGGCACCAGCCCAGTGGTGAATGGTGCATCCCATCACATATGGGAATAAGAAATGTTTTCAGTGTATTCATACTAGATTGTGAATGCATATGGAAATTATCTTTTCAACATTTACAACTGTACCATAGACTGACAATGCATAGTCTTCATATTTTCAGCAGTAGGTCTTAAAGAATAAAACTGTTTATTCTTGTGTAGGCACATGGATGTCTTAATGTATTATATGCAATTTTCAAGGGTGAGTAGTAGCCTTATGAATGGTTTATATGGAAGAAACTTTTCATGCATTAGAAAGATAATGTCAGGTATCTGGACTGTGTTGCAGCATCTCTTTCCTATGGATTTAAGCAGTTTTTTGTGCAGTATCTATTTTGTAGCAATATAGTGTGAGATCCAGATCTGATTGAAGTCAATGGCAAAGTTCCCATTAAGGAAATGTAGGCTCAGGGCCATACTGAGTACAGGGTACACAACATGCCATCATTTTCATTATTTTATATGCTCCTCAAATATTTCATCTGATATTAAAGTATAAAAGTTACATAAAACTTACCACTTCTTCATGGGAAGCACTTTCTACATTTATGCCATTAACCTAAAAATGAATATACCATAGAAAGAAAGTGATTTGTAACATATAAATAATGTAATAAAAATAAACATTAAAACATGCTTAAAACAAGCATGTGTGTGGAATAAATGTACAATTTACTGACCTGTATTAGTGCATCTCCTATAAATAACATTCCTGTTTGGTCAGCTGTGGGGGTTACAAAAGCAGTATGTTAAGTGAAAGACTCAAATAATGACATATATTGCTTCAGCACTTGCTTAAGCACACTCTTTGTAACCATGTAACATTTTAAACTACTTTTCTTTTGAAAATGCCAGTGGCATAACAATCAGGAATCAGCCAGTAAAGCTAAATAGATTGGTACCAATTTTAAGCAAATTAAGAGAGTTACTTTCCATGCACAAAGGATGTATTTAATATGGAACACAAATGTCATTTCTCACTAATGAATGATTTCATTAAATTATGTGGAAAGTGTGATTCACATTTTTCATTAGTCTTGCTCAGACAGTAAAATAGGAATTTTAGAAGCTACTTAGCATCTTTTTTTTTTTTTTTTTTTTGCCTGGAACAAATTTACAGGAACTGGTATAATTAAAGAAGCTGTGCCTAGAATGTAATAAAACTATTTAAGATGAAGTTTGAGTTCACTCTGTTCAGGAGAATAACACAACATATTATTTCAACTAGTAATTTGCATATTTTCTACCTCCTGAAATCAACAGGAATGACACCCTGAAAGGGCACACACAACAAAGCTGCTTCAAAGGTGAACAGTCACTTTTGGGAGGTGAATTTCACCTACTTCTGAGGACATGAGTTTTCAATGTGCATTCAGGGAGCTTACCATCTCATAAAAGATGGTCGGCTGTTCACACCCTGATCCTGCAAACACTGATTTGGTTAACCTTAAGCACCCAGGTAGTCTCTTTTGAGACTACTCATGTGCTGAAAGTTAAGCACACATGTGGGCCTGAGACTTACAAGATTTTAAAAATATAACACTCAACTTAATATTTTTGGAGTGTGAAATGGAGGGAAGGAAGAGTCTGACCACACGGTACTTTCTCAGCTTCTGCCGTATTGGATTTGACAATATGAACAATGAAGCTTTCATTCAAAATAGTTTTGTTTCTTAAGACATTGGAGTTACATCAGGGTTGAACTTGGTGCCATCACTTTGGTTGGATAAAATAAGTACCTTTACTTAATATTTATTAGTATTTAGGCACCATTTAATTATTTTCCATTAATCTATTTTAAATGACAGCTTGTAGATATTATTAATGTAAAGTAAATGCTTTTTGGGGATTCTAACTTACCTTGTATTTAAAAAAAGAATAATCATGCTTGCAATCTCTGGTGTATATGTGTGTGTGTGTGTATATATATACACACACACACACATCTAAGTCAGCCTATAGTGAGGGAAATAGAAACAAAAGAAACATAGGATATGTCTATGCTGCAGTTGGGACAGCATAAGTAGGCACACCCAGGCAGGGTGACCAGACAGCAAATGTGAAAAACTGGGACAGGGGGTGGGGGATAATAGGAACCTATATAAGAAAAGGACCCAAAAATCGGGACTGTCCCTATAAAATCGGGACATCTGGTCACCCTACACCCAGGCTACCTCTAATCATGCTAGCTCACTAAAAATAGCAGTGCTGCTGTGGTGGAATAGGTGGTGACACAGGATAGCCTCCTGTGTATCTACTTATGGTCCCGGGTGGGATTGTACTCAGGTGGCTAGCCTGTGCCACCACCCATACCACCACAACTATACTGCAAATTTTAGCAAATGTGGACAATCAAAGCTAGCTTGGGTACGCCTACATGTGCTGCAAATGCACCTCCTGATTGCCGTGATCAGAAAGGTGAGCATATTATTCCACTGAGTGAACATCAAAATAAGGCACTTAGCAATAATAAGTAAATGTTTAGTTACTCCATAAAAGCCATGCTGTATGGTTGATTTTTGTGCAAACTTTCTAGTGACATTGGTGAGAGATCTGCTCTGGATTGAGATCAGTAAATGGACTACAATTTATACTCCAGTCCATGAGTTTAAATTTAAAATGGAAGATGGCTCTCCCCAGAACGTCACTGGCAGTGATGAACCCGATTCTAAAGGACACACCATTTAGATACCCAGACAACAGCCAGTTACAAGTATGTACGAGAAGACAAAACACAGGTTAAAATACTTTACTGGATCAAAAAGCAGGTGAATGCATAAACTTGGAAGGCAGAAAGTACTGCAGAATAGGTATATTTTAAACTCAAAGGCATCACCACATCCATTCTTTCACAAGAAGCACTACATCTACAAACACTGTCTTACAAAAAACAACGAGGAGTCCTTGTGGCACCTTAGAGACTAACAAATTTATTTGGGCATAAGCTTTCGTGAAATGCATGGAGTGAAAAAAAGTAGGCAGGTATAATTATACAGCACATGAAAAGATGGGAGTTGCCTTACCAAGTGGGGGGGTCAGTGCTAACGAAGCCAATTCAATTAGGGTGGATGTGGCCCATTCCCAACAGTTGACAAGAAGGGATGAATATCAACAGAGGGAAAATTACTTTTTGCAGTGACCCAGCCACTCCCAATCTTTATTCAGGCCTAATTTGATGGTGTCAAGTTTGCAAATTAATTCCAGATGTGCAGGTGAATGAGCCCCTGAACCAATCCCTGCAACAAACCCCGTTACCAACTCACAAAACCCGTTGCCAACTCTGTCCGCATATCTATTCAAGGGACACCTTCATAGGACCTAATCACATCAGCCACACCATCAAGGGCTCGTTCACCTGGACATCTACCAATGTGATATATGCCATCATGTGCCAGAAATGCCCCTCTGCCATGTACATTGGCCAAACCGGACAGTCTCTACGCAAAAGAATAAATGGACACAAATCAGACATCAAGAATTGTAACATTCAAAAACCAGTAGGAGAACACTTCAATCTCCATGAACACTCAATAACAGACTTAAAAATGGCCATTCTTCAGCCAAAAAACTTCAAAAACAGACTTCAACGAGAAACTGCAGAACTGGAATTCATTTGCAAACTTGACAGCATCAAATTAGGCCTGAATAAAGACTGGGAGTGGTTTGTTCACTACAAAAAATAAGTTTCTCTCTGTTGATACTCACACCTTCTTGTCAACTGCTGGGAATGGGCCTCATCACTACAAAAACTAATTGAGAGTAAATAGGGAAGTCTTGCCATGAAGGAATCACAAGCTATCATACGCCTTTCATTGTGTGAAACACTCACCCCCTCTAAGGGACTGGGAGGGGCAAAGAAGTGCTGGACACATGTTCCTTCCCCACCTTCATCTGCAGAACAAGTCTTGTGCATGGGAAGGGAACCACCAAGAGTATTCTTCACCCTCTGAAGGAATGGAGTAGTAGGTGCTCTACCCCAATAAGCTAGGCAGAGATGATAAAAAATTCCTTTCCCTGCAGTGGTGCAGTTCCACGCTGACCCCAATACATGTCAGTTCCTATGTGGCTCTCTAGAGCTGTTAGGAAGGGTATGTCTAAAATAAATGACCCATGGCATGGCCACAGCTGGCCCAGGTTAGCTGATTTATAGAGCCGTGCGTGGATACAAATTTATACCCGCGGATGCGGATATCCGCGGATACCGATTTATATCCGCGGAACCACAGGGCTCTCCCGGGAACTGCAGCGGCAAAAGGAGCACAACGTGGGGCCACCACTCCCAGAAGCCAGCGTCCCATGCTAGCAGCTCCTCTGATGCGGCTTTACCACCCACAGCCCTGCCCCCATCCCTTCCACGCAGCTGTCTGCCTCTCCTGTCTGGGGGCGTGCGCGCTGCTTGAACACAATAGCATGACCAACGGGCAGGGCTGAAGTTCGGGCTGGACATTTGGACTCAGGCTGGACCTGAAGCTCTGAGACCCCTTCCAGGGGAATGGGCTGATAGCCCTGGCTCCAACCTGAACCTGAATGTCTACACTGCTCTTTTTAGCCCCACAGTCTGAGGTCTGCAAGCTCAAGTCAGCTGACCTGGGCTCTAAGACTCAATGCTGCAGGTTTATCGCAGTGTAGACTTACCCATAGTAACAGACAACTGGGGAAAAGAAAATCATAGCCAAATATTCTACTAGAATTTCAAAATAAGAAAAAGACTGAACCTAGGAATTGTCAGTTGTCATGTGTAGCTTTAATCCCTTATGAAACATGGACCACTTGAGAGAAAAGCATCTTTAACAATTCAAAAGATAACGAAACAATGAACGATCAGTATCATGCGAGACAAACTTGATCACTTTTTTCACAGAATCAGTAAACGAAACATTCCTGGACCTCACTAAAGCATGCGGACATAATATTTCATAAAGTTATACCTGAAAAAACAGTATTTCAGACTGACTTGAACTGGCCATCAGGAAATTTAGACTTGAAATTAGACAAAGATTTCTAACCATCAGAGGAGTGAAGTTCTGGAACAGCCTTCCAAGGGGAACAGTGAGGGCAAAAGACATATCTGGCTTCAAGACTAAGCTTGATAAGTTTATGGAGGGGATGGTATGATGGGATAGCCTAATTTTGGCAATTAATTGGTCTTTGGCTATGTCTTCACTACCCGCCGATCCGGCGGGTAGCAATCGGTCTATCGGGGATCGACTTACCGCGTCTCGTGAGGACGCGGTAAAATCGATCCCTGATCGCTCTGCCGTCGACTCCGGAAATCAACCTCGGCAAGAGGCGGCAGCGGAGTCGGCGGCAGCAGTCGACTTTCCCCCGTCCTCACCGCCAGGTAAGCCGACCTAAAATACGCAACTTCAGCTACGGTATTCACGTAGCTGAAGTTGCGTATCTTAGGTCGGAACCCCGCTGTAGTGTAGACCTAGCCTTTGACTATTAGCGGTAAATATGCCCAATGGCCTGTGATGGGATGTTAGATGGGGTGGGATATGAGTTACTACAGAGAATTCTTTCCTGGGTGTCTGGGTTGTGAGTCTTGCCCACATGCTCAGGGTTTAGCTGATCACCATATTTGGGGTTAGGAAGGAATTTTCCTCCAGGGCAGATTGGCAGAGGCCCTGGGGGGTTTTCGCCTTCCTCTACAGCATGGGACACGGGTCACTTGCTGGAAGATTCTCTGCACCTTGAAGTCTTTAAACCATGATTTGAGGACTT